ACACACACACACACACGTGTGTGTATGTGCGTGGTGTGTTTCCAATTTATTAACCTTTTCCAGAATAGGAAAGAGATGTTGACAAAAATAGTGATTGTATTCTAATTATTAACTTAGAAAACAGAAGCTAGATTGAAATCAGAAATTGAAAGTAGTACTTTAGTTAACATATTCCAAAATATTTTTGTATTTTTTGTGGTCTTATTATTTGTTTATTATTTGCAATAGTAACATTTCAATTATTTCTTTAAAACCTGAAGTATATTTAACATTTTTATTTGTAAGAATTATTTGAGAATTTAGCAATGATTCTAAAATATAAACCAAGTATTTTAACCCAGTACCTCTAACTTAGTTTCACATCCACCTAGTTTATAATGAGGATTAGTTTCTAACATGTATCTAAATAATACAAATTGTATCTAACCAAGTTCAACGCAAATCACAATTATTTTCTTTAAAAGTACATTTTTTTTCATATTTGGAATGTAAACAATTTTATATCTGATTTTTTTTAAAAGAAACAAATCTTGTAAACAGCCCAGGCCCAAAGATTCACATTGTATTCCATTGCAAAGCTGCATTCAGAATTGCATTACATATAGTCTTCAACTACCACAATTGGGACCAAAATTTTGATCACTAAGGGATGCAGTCATAAAGCAAGATGACATGTGATGACATGGCTTAGAGACCACAATCTTAGCAATGCTAATTGCTAATGTTAAGTGAATTTTACCAGCCAAGGACCCAACCTAATCTATGCTATTGTAGGCTTGCTCCCTCCCATCCTGATCTCCAGTAAGGTAAAAGATTGACTCCAAATCCTGCCACCTGTCTATGTCACCCTATCCGCCCTATTAGTTTCCTTATACCCTGTCTTTGTGTCACACTTCTGGGCCCTAAGAAACTGGTTTTAGTTGATATCACTTTCTGCACATTCCTAAGAAAAATAATGACTATTTTAAGGATTTTGAGAGCTATTATGTTCATAATGCTACATTCTTTGTATCATCTTTTTACTTTACACTGTATAGCTCAGACAGGTCCTGTTGGTTCTGTGTTCAGTCACTTTAATTTTTAGTTGCCATTTTGGATATATGAGATGCTATGAGCAAAGAGAAATAAATAAATATTGAATAGAAAATCTGTAACTTTACGGGACAAAACAGCTCTAAAATGTTAAATTATTTATGTAAGTCATGATTAACAATAATTCCACTTCATTTAATAGTCATGTAAAGGTAGTGTCTATACTTTCATTTGATCCTAAATATTAACAGCCATTAGACATTTTGTTTTTTTCAACCTCAAATACTGTAAAATAATTCTGTTACTTAGTTCAATCTCTGCAAACTCTTTTTGAGTTTCATTTGATCAGGATTGTTTGTTAGTAACTGGTTCTTTTGATTACTTGTAAGTTCATGCTTGTGTCATCAGTGATAATTTATAGGCTTCTTGTCAGCTTTTTTTCAGTTGCCTTTCATTTTTCCAACTGTCAGGATATTGTGCAGTAATTCTTGTCTTCATATTTATGCATCTAAAATATTTAACCATTTGTTTCATTTTAATGCTTCGAGATGGTGTTTTGCTTTTACTTCATCTGATATCTAAAGTGTTGTGTCTGAAGATATTCTCAGCCATTTACTCTAGTACCATAATTTGAAACAATTGATTCTGAGCTTTGGCAACTGGGAAAACTATGGCCTTGCAAAGTACACTTTCATGACAGTGTGATATTGCTGTACTTTTTTTCCAAATAGCAGTCATTTCTTATTTCATTTGTATGATCACTATCCATGTGAGTTGTGAAGCTGACAGCATAGACTTCTATTACTTCTACTTCCTCTCTATTCATACTGTTGATATTGCCTGTTGACATAATCTTATATTTGTTTTCCAAAATGCTAATATTTTGCCCTCCCACTTTAAATAAGAGATTTCTTCCTTGCTTCCAAATTTCAGAGTGATTTTATTAGCATATCTACGGTTTTGTTCTACAGAATTAATTCAAATTTCTATTCTAGAAATTAATATACAGTACATGCATTTCTACATATAAGCCAAAGAAACAAGTGAACAGTATGAATCTTTGGAACATTCTTTTTTCTCTTTTGATCTATTGTTTTGATAAATGTTCCGTTTGTTTCTTATTGGTCACCATACAAATTCTTCAGTAGGCAAATGAGTTGAACTGGTACTCCTGCTTTTAAGCCCTATACTCAGTTTGTTGTAGTATACATAGTTAGAAATCTTTGTATAACAGTAATTGAGCATTATTTTGTTAGTATGTGAGATAAGTGCAGCTATTTGATAATCTGAATATTCGTTATCTCTGCCTTTGAGAAGTAGTGGGATATAAATTGATTTCTCACCTTTCATATTGGAAATGTGAACAACATGAAGAGACAAGTTTATCATGCTTGCTGGACATGTAAAAAAGACAAACAAAACTTTGATGCATATGAGTTTAAAGATCAATATTCAGTTGAAGCCAGAACTTTTCCTTTTAGAACTAATTGTCAAGCCCCTGGTGGAGATTGACTCTGAGGGAGAGGAGGAACAGCGGACAGGGAGTGGAAGTGTGGTTCCAGAGGTTTTGGAGGTGGCTGGGGAAGGACAGAGGCCGGCTGAGCAGTCAGAGGAGGACCCAGGCCTATCCCCACTCCATCCTAGGGCATGAAGGGAGGAGAGGATAAGGGAGAGACGTTGTCTACTCTGGAAGAGAGGGCCTTGATCCTCTTCATGGGCTGCAGCTGTATTAACTGAATAAGAGGATGGACATGCATGGGGGGGAAAGCTGGAAACAAAGCGTGGAAATATCTCTAGTTTGTGGTTCCGCTCTTCGTTTGGCATCCTTCCCAGTAGTGTTCTGTTATCTGTGGACTCCTCCAGCCCTTATCTTGCCTGATTTGTGTTGGTTTTCCCCTTCTTCTTGTAACTGCTTTTGTGGGAGTTTCTTGTCTTCTGTCAAGGATATTTGGAGCTTGGAAGCAAAGTGAAGGAATAAAAGGGGCTTCACTGGGTTTTTGTGTCTATGTTTATTTTGTATCCCACCCTCCTCATCACACTAATGGATAAAAAAGCAATGGAAAATTATTTCCATGAAATGGAAATTCATTGATTACTGTGGCAAGACGTATATGCAGAAGGAACTGTTGGTGAAATTGACAGTTGTTGCTGAGATGGATAGATTAAAAAAGATACTCTCTACATTTATTGGTAACTGGAAATTTCATACAGACTTTTTGTGTAAAAATAAAAAAATGAACTTGTGATTTACGACTTTGGTGACCAGATATAATAGATTATAGAACATTCATGATCTATCCACCCCAGGATGAAGTCCTCTTCCTAAAGTTTCCAACCAATAACTGTCCTGAGCTTTCTTTTGCCAAATGGGTCCATAATACTTGCTGATGTCGTCAGTGTATCTTGTTTTAGGTCTCTCTTGTGGAATCCATTCTATGTTAGTCCATCTGTCATCAGTTCTTCTTGCTATGTGACCAGCCCATTTCCATTTCATTTCTTTTATTCTCTTGATGATATCATATACTTTCGTTTGTTCTCTAATCTATGTGCGGATCTTTTTATCTTGTCTTGTGATGTCAAGCATTTTCCATGTCTTTTTGCACCACTCGTAATTGACCACATTGTGAGGTCATTGCCTTTATTTTGCTGGGATATGTTAGAACAGGTAGCACGCACTGATTGAAGACTTTGCAGGCATAGGGCGAGTTTGTTCTTGAAAATTAAGCTTAGCTTGCCAAATGCATGCCCACCAAAATTATGATAAAATTTTAGACAGGAATATTAAAATTGTCTGCTGTGAAGAATATTGGAAGCTGCTTTGTATCTTCTTTTTATTTTTCCCCAACTTTTTTC